TTTCTGGAACTGTGAAGATAATGAGGAGAAGCGACCGAGCTGCATTGTCGAGGAACAGGACATTGCAATGCTCGTCTTGAAATGGATTATGGGCTTCACAAAGTCGAGGATTTTGGAGCTTGTCGAGAAATTTGGATTGCTCGTGACCGATATCTTCAAACCGGCCCCAAAGGAGAAACCTACTTCCGAACTAACCGATCTTTTGGAAGAGAAAGTTCGGTCGTCATTGCTACTCTCTGTGGTTATCCTTTTAATCGTTGTCGTAACCCGGAACCAGGGCTAGGCTAGATCGACTTTTTCGAAACATTTATTTTGTTGTCGGCTAATGTTCGAATTATGTTCAATTATGGTTTCGAGGTTATATAGTTGTGTTTGCTTCAGTTAAGTTGACATGAACTCTTAACTCTCTCTCTCTCTATATATATATATACAACGACGGACCTACATTGGGTCCAGGGGGGCCATGGACCCCCCTCAATTTTTTTAAAAAATCATTATATATATATAGTTATATACATAGTTATATAGAAATAAAAAATACTATAAACTATGAATAAAAATATAAAAAACATGTAGAATATATAAATAATTAAAATTTATTTTCAATGCTATTTTAATTTAAAATAATAATATTATTTATTTATTAAAAAATATTCTAACAATCTTTATATTTTACATTTCTAGATATATTTTTGAAAATGATATAATAATTTACTCTTTCGGCCTCTTAATTGTAAATCAATTTAATGATTTATAAAAACCTAGAATTTAGTTGGACTGTTAGATTTTTGAATGTTGATCGATTGAATATTGAATGCTGATTTTTTACTTTTTTTATGTAATCACATATTTTCAACTTTATTTATTTTTTATTAATAAAATGGTCATTTAATAAATTCTCATCAACAAAAAATGTTATGCAATGTGTTGCAAAAGTTCAATGTAAATCAATTTTTGAACAAAAAAACTTATTTTTTTTTTCCATAAATTATAGATCTTAAACTTAAATTGTAAATACACGAACACTTTTGCCTTAAAAAAAAGTTTGAGGGTGATACGGATTCTAACTACAACAACAACATAGCCTTTAGTTCCAAGCAAGTCGGGGTAGGCTAGAGATGAAACTCAAGAGAAACAATGGGAAGGAAAACACAAAAAGGACTCAAAACAAAAGGAAGGGGTTGGAACAAAAAGAGAAAAGAGCAAAAGTCATGGTTCTGGCACGTGGATTGCTAGCCTCCAAGCGCTCTTATCCACCGCTAAATCCTTGGAGATATTCTAATATTTAAGGTCTCTCTTAACCGACTCTTCCCAAGTGAGTTTAGGCCGACCTCTACCTCTCTTTACATCATCGACTCGCTGTAGAACTCCCCTACGCACCGGTGCATTAGGAGGCCTCCGTTGGACATGTCCGAACCACCTCAGCCGATGTTGGACCAATTTCTCCTCAATTGGAGCCACCCCGACCCTATCTCGAATATCCGTATCACCTCAGCCGGTGATACGAATTCTAAGTTTTTAAAAATTTGATGATACACTGTATTTATAAGTAAACACAACTTTATACGAAATGCGCGTTTTTACTTAAACTATAAACTCGTTATTTAACATTTAAAATTGGACCCCCCCTGAGTGAAAATCCTGGCTCCGTCACTGTATATATATCTTGTACCATTTTCGGGATAATTTACAAGAACATTTCATGAAGTGTGGAGGATCTACATAGAGTGACAAGAAAAACCACCAAACAAGTTAGTTCATATATTGATAAACTTTGTTCCTTTATACAAAAGGAACAAGAATAGTAATTTTTAAGAAGAAAAGAACAGAGGTGGCTGAAAAGAGTCCATCCAATAATAGATGAATTTACCTTAGGAGGGGTTATTATTTGAAATACATTCTATATAAACACAATTTTTGTATCGAAATATCATATTTTAAAAAAATATATATATATATATATATATATAAGTTAAAATTAATTTATATATTCAAAATTTAAGTATGTATTTGTAACAACTATATCATTTAAATTTTTATTATGAATCGACTTAGTGTTTCAATTATCTTGAAATTCCGATATATTAGGGTCACGTTCCGATGAGAATGGTGCCCAATAAAAGAAATAAGAATAAATCGTATGGCTAAAAACAAGGCCAAAGTTTATACCTTCANACACACCTAAACTATACAATAAGGCCCTCATTAGTGTCGTCCAGAAACAAACATCTTGCTTTTCTGTGAGCTAGTTTAAGTTCAAGTTAGAGTTGCTCTCAATGTAATCGACCCAACGAGCGAAGCGAAGCGCAGTGAGGGAAAGGTTATTTAATATGCTCGACGCGAAAGGAGAGGAATTCTGACTGTGGTCCTATGTTTACTTTCCCTATATTCCAGCCATAAGGCAATAAGCTTCTTGCATTCATTAAACTCTTCCCTCATAAAGAAAAGAAAGGATTATCGAATTGACTTATCTACTATCTTACCTATTTACATAGCCCTACCCAAGCAAAGACTCAGCTTATGCACGAGAACAGGCGTAAGGAGCTGTGCCGGCAGACTAAGGAGAAGAGGAGTCAGTCCCTCGGCCGGCATCAAACTCCGACACTTTGTTAGCTATTGATAACTCGACCCACATCAACAGAGCTGAAACCCTTTTTCAAACAGCCACCTCCGGGAAACAACTCCAGGACCCAGCCAAAGTCGCCTCCCCCAGCACAACACCGACAACTGCCAAAACAACGACCACAACCATCCAAACAACACCCCAACCCGCCTGTGGACACCATCAATCCCCTCCCCAGAGGAATGGACTAAATCCAGGGGAAGTAACACCGGGCGGAAAATGGAGCCCGCGAACCCATCGCCACCACATAGTCGCCGGCCAAACCAGCGCAAGCCGTGCGTCGACCAGGGAGACTACGCTTGTTGGGATCGAAAACCGGCAGCATCAAGGTGAACGCCCAGAAGCCGGTCATCCTCGCGGTGCAGAGGAGGCGCTGACGATAGTAAGGAGGCGCAGACAAGGAGAAATTGATGTGGCTAGGGTTTTTCTAATTTGGGAGAACATAATTGGCGCGCTTCTTAGAGCATGTTTGTTTATTGAAATTTTTTGTTTTGTTCAGATTTTTTAGTTTAGTTTGGTTAATTTAAAAAATGTGGTATATTAGTTGTTAGTGAGTATATTAAAAAAATATTTAAAATAAAATAATTAAAATTAATTTGATGTAAAAGTATAAGAGGGAAGATTTGAAGTGATGATTAGTTAAAATAATGTGAATGGATGAATAGTGAATTAAGATTGATGTGGTGAGCACGAATGATTAATTGATATTATTTAATTATATTGATGATATTGATGACAGTAAAATTAAGTTAAATTTAAATTTAAAAAAAATTATTAAATTAAAATATTGAATTTTTTTTGAAATTTTCTATAAACAAAGAAATGGATAAGATATATAATGATATGAAGGCCAACTAAGAATAGGGCCCATTAATTCGGAATAAAAAAAGATCTAAATCCATGGAAAGTAACATGATAAAACCCATAGTACAAATCTTTTGGGCTCCACTCAGGGTCATCTGTTGTCCTTGCCTTCGGAAGCTTCCAGTTAGGTGCATTACCAAGAAACTTACAAATTTTTGGCACTATATTTGGAATTATTCTGTTGTACGTCTCATCGGTAAATTCATATGTACTTACGTCCCTCTTTATATATTGATTCAAAATATATTGAACTTGATAGATTTTCACGCTTCAAATGTTAACATGGCCAAAATTTATATTTCGTAATGTTGTTTATATATTTATTTTTGCTCTGAAATTAGGCTAGGTATTAGACATAAATAATATTTTTCAAACTTAATAAGTGTATATTTAATTTGTTATTTTTTTTTCTTAATACATATTTCCTTCTTAGTTTGGCAAGTAGCAATCTTACCATGTTATAAATTTCTCTCATATTTCTCTTTTAAATTACGATTTACAAATCACTTTCTGCACTGTTTATTCATTTTTTTTTCATTAATTAGTCCATAAAAAAATTTTAAATAAAAATTTTATTTTAGCAATAACATTTATCATATATTCTTAACTCAACATCCGTATAGTACACGGGTATTGTATTAATTTAGTTTAACGGTACAAAAAGAAATATACTCGAAAATTTTGTGTGTATTTGTGATCAACAGTAAAAAGTTCAATAGAACTGAAAATGAGTCCATATGACTGTTAGGAAAGTAATCGGTAATCCTCTTGTAATTGAAAAATAGAAGTTGAACAATTAAAATATTCAAGTAATTTTTGGTTTTCTATTTATTGATCATAATTTGTAGTCAAATTTCGCACATAAGTGATCACCTTCATGTTCCAACTAGCTTGAATATTCAAGCTGCCAAACCAAATTATCTTGAGAATCTCTTTGAACTGTTTAATAAGTTTACATTTATTAGTTACTATTTTTAATATTTTTTAAATATTTAATAGTGTGTGTATATATATATCAATCACAGGATATTAAAAAATAAACTATTTTAATAACATTAATTCATAATCAAATACCTATCGCCAATTATAATTTACCAACAAAATTAGCCAACACATTCCAATAATAGACCAGCACAATCCACTATCCGTTGTTGTCCAACTATATAATCAACTATCATGTATAATTTGGTTACCAACAGGACCATCACAATAAAAAGGTTAAAAAAACAAAATGAAATAGTGGCAAATATATATATATATATATATATATATATATATANACCACTCCCTATATATATATATATATATATATATATATATATATATTCAAGAGTTTTTGGCCACTTATGGGTTACGGCTCATCATCGATGAGTGAAACTTTTTGTTTTCTGTAACCATAGAATTCTTATAGATAGACCACAAAAGTACACTTAAGAAATACCCTAACAAATGTAAAACAAATAAAAAGTAGAATATAATAAGAGGGTCCAAAAATCGCCTACAAACTACACTACACTATAACGAAATTAAAAAGTGCACCCACACACTAACACAAAAACGAACAAACTCCAACATTGGAGAATGAAAACTCCCACACGAAAGAATAAACGCTTCCAAACGAGAGAATAACACAAACACAAAACCTACAACATGCAAAACACAAATACAAAACACACAATGGCTACACTAAAGCCCTTCCCTCAATCGTCAAGCAGCTTCAAGCAAAACACGACGGCGACAGCCACAGTCGACCACCCATATGGACCGAGCCATGACCCAAGCTATAGATCTAGAAACTGTCAAAAGGACCTACTTGGAATCGAAACAAATAACTCTACCTTACGCCTAGGCAGACGACCCCAGACTCTCAACCGGAGGATTACCAAACAAATTCCCCGGCAAAAAAGGT